ATTTTTTTTTTCCGTAAAATTTATCAAATATGATTTCTGCCTTTTGTTTTTATATTATATAAGGTTAAAATATGATATATTATTTTTATTGTAATTTTCTTAGTTCTCTATTGATTAACATAATTGTATAATGATTGCATTTAATCGATGACAATAGCCTTAAATAATTTTATTGGGCTTCAACTCTAATCAAAGCCTGTACCAGAGTTGGGCAGTACCGTGATACATGTATTCAAGATACAATATTCTTTTGTATAATGTACTCAGTATATTTTTTGAAATTTTTAATAAGATACTAGTATTAGTATCCAAAATTCTTTATCTTTCATATTCTGATAAAACAGATACTGATTATTTTTAATATTCATGCTTAAAATTTTACATATCACAGTATATATCTTATTTTCTTTGGAGATCTTGTATTAATTTATTTATTTTTTTCCGATATAATTAAATATATTGACAACCAAAAGTAGCTGGAATTTCCAACTCATATTAAGATAAATAAAAATTATAAGACCAAAACGAAATAAGTAAAGATTAATATAAATGTAACTCGATAGAATATCATTACCAATTTTATGCAATTTATTTTTCATGGTAGTGAAAAAGAAAGTAGTGAAATATAAATTATTAAAATAAGTTCCCTTAATCAAAAATTTTAGTTGGAATTTTTTGGAAAATAAAAGTAGAAATAGATAAAGTACAGGCTGAATGTAAAACCTGTGTAAACAAAAAAATGATAAAGGTTTCAACACAAATTTTGTTAAACATATTATAGTATATTATTTATATGTGGTTAAAAGGGACATAAGTTATCTTAAAAATTCAAGTTTACAATATTGCTTACCTCTATTAAAAGTTGCCCAAGATGGTATGGGCAAAAGATTTTGAGAAAACATTTTCATGATATATAATGAGGCATTTTGGAATTTAAAAATATGGATTGAGTTGGATGATAAAAAAAATAATATCAAAATATATTATTAACAGAAGCTCTAAATGTAGTACCAGAGTATATAAATAAGCTCAAATTATAACACCAATAGATTTAACTTCTAAAATGATGATTATTTTTATTTTGGTGAAACTTGTTGAGTTCAATAATATAAATAACACTGAAATAGATGTTTTAAATTATATTAAAGAAAGTCGAAATACATTATATTTGTTAATTATTATCCTTCCATTAATATAATGGTTTTAAAACTGCAATACCTTTCAGCTTCAATTTAAATATTTATTGTCACAATGTTAAGTATGCCGAATGGGGAAAGGTCTAATGATAAATTATTTGAAAAATTTGATTATCTTATAAAATTATGAATCTATTTTAAATACTCTTTTGCAGATTAGTAAACTCCTACTAAAAATACTAGTCTATCTTCTCTTGCCAAGAATGGGCTAAAACTAATATAAAAATGCTTGGATTATTATTAATTCTAAATATTTTATCTATTGAAAATATTCATTCTTATTATATGCGTAAATTATGTTCTTCACAAATAAATAATAAAAACTGGATTTTATAAACTATTCTAATTTAATTGATATTAAATAATAATTTAAAAGTAAGCAAAATATATAAGTATCTTTTATCTTGTAGCTTTTGATATTTTGAAAAAGATACTAGTATCTGTATCTAAGATTCATTTTTTTATAAAGAATCTTTATTCGTCCGAGGGACCTGCCCAATTGTGGCCTATTCGCTATTGATCCTTCCACTCATGTTTAAAGTCCATTATAGCTTTGCAATTAGAAACTCGAGGGGTGGCTTCATGGAACTATATGCATATTATATATTTTTTAATATCAAGACCTGCCATCTTACCCGTGAATATGTATATCTGCTTATCTTTCAACGGATTTATTTCATCATTTTCAATATACTTGCTACAAAGATATTGATTCTGATTTAACATCATATGAACTAGCAACTATAATTGAAAAGCATCCGTTAGATTCAGTTTTTTTAAAATTTTATTTATAAGGATTAAGGACTTATGGAGAATATTTATATTATTATAAAACAATCGATTATAATATAATTTGGATTTATAACATCTTTTTATAAAAAAAGATACCCCACTACATCGCCGATTCTGTAGAGGTCACTGTCTAATATTTATTAAAAAAAGTAAATTTAGAAAATGATTTAAAAACCATCTTATTTACAATAAAGGCATTATTATAGTATTGTTTGGTTTGAATATAAGTTTAGTGAGAACATTTTTCCTTTTTAGCTTTGTAATACATGGATTTTTATTTTCTTTACTAGCGTCAACTCTCTAAATTTTAAATCACTATTACACCATGAAAATCTGTGTTGTCTTCAACAAGATCATATTCATTTGTCATTTTCTCGCAAAAATTTTAAAACTTACAAAATATTAATGAAAAAATTATTCAATTTTTACAACTCGTAAACTTTTAAAGAATCAAAAAAAAATACGCGAATTAGTAAAAAAAGTATTTAGGCCAATATTTTGCTTTTATTTTAAAAATATTCTATTTTTTTTTCTTAAAATTCTCGTAATTTTATGTAATAAGATTTCAGCGCTAAGCCCTAGCGTAGACGAACAACAGAACTACCCTAGGTTTTCATATAATCCATCAACATAAATGTCATTGCTTAAACCGTACATATTGTAAGCACAAAATCCGAAAAACTTCGATAGGCTATAAAAAAAAGAGATGTTAAGCAAAAGCCTATGCCATTTCAGTATAATATAATTACTTTAAGGGTGGGGGATTGACTAATTTTTATCTTTGTGTAATTCTTATAGGATTATTATACATATTGAGTGTCCATTGAATTCCGAATTATCTTAAAAGAATTAAATATAATATATATTATTCCATTTGAGTTCCTCAATAAGATTATGCAAACTAAATTAATAACATTTATCAATTAAACAAATTACGTGATACATTTGCAGTGGATATAAAAAATCCTCCATATCTTTTTGGGTGGGGTGCCTTTGATCATAAGACACTTCATCGTATTTTTCGTCCAACTCGTCCAATTCGTTCAAAATGGAGATTAATAGATTTGAAATGGTAAAAATTAAATTTTTACCATAATCTTACATTAAATGTTAATAATTCTTTTAAAATGGTAAAATTTAATATATATTATTCAAATATAGAATATTTAGCAGGTTTCAAATGGTAAAAATTTATCTTAGCTCTTACACAATATCAAAAGAAAAACCTATGATATAATTTCTACAGCAAATTAAGAAGATTAATAGGTTTAAAATGGTAAAATTTAATATATATTATTATTCAAATATAGAATATTTAGCAGGTTTCAAATGGTAAAAATTTATCTTAGCTCTTACACAATATCAAAAGAAAAACCTAGGATATAATTTCTACAGCAAATTAAGAAGATTAATAGGTTTAAAATGGTAAAATTTAATATATATTATTATTCAAATATAGAATATTTAGCAGGTTTCAAATGGTAAAAATTTATCTTAGCTCTTACACAATATCAAAAGAAAAACCTAGGATATAATTTTTACAGCAAATTAAGAAGATTAATAGGTTTAAAATGGTAAAATTTAATATATATTATTATTCAAATATAGAATATTTAGCAAGTTTCAAATGGCAAAAATTTATCTTTTTATCTTAGCTCTTACACAATATCAAAAGAACAACCTAGGATACAATTTTTACAGCAAATTAAGAAGCTTATTTTATTATTCAAATTTATAATGTATATGACATATGTTAATTATATCAAATGTATAAATCGAATACAAAAATATAAACAACTAATATTTATTTAGCATGTATAAAACAAATATAAATTATTTACAATGTAAAATACAATAATAAAAATTATATATTATCAAATACATTTGAATTGTATACTAATTTAATATAAGCTGATGATTTATCAGCAATTCCAATTTATTAATAATATGATTATTATATTGTGTAGTCAGCTTTTCCAAATTTCTTTCTTTTAGGATATATTTGGAATTTGTTTTTTTAGAGTCATTCCTATGAGGTAATATAATGCCTAATAATTAAATGATTATAAATTTTGATAAACTTGATATGGCATTAAGGGTTGCATGTTAGGTGTTACTAGGGGTTGAGATTGAGCAAACATATTACCTAAAGTAATGAATATAAAAAGATAATAATTGATGATACTAGTTGAAGTTGGTTGAGAGTTTGTAACAAAGAACTGAGACTGAGTAAACATATTGCCTAAAAAAAATTGATTATAGAAATTTTATTTTGTGAAACTTGATATGGTATTAGTAGACTGCATGTTGGGCGTTGCTAGAATTTGAGATTGAGTTAGCTGATAGTCTAAAATTATATTGATTTTAAAAATCTAATATTTTATGAAACTTGATAATGAAGGTTGTATAATTTGTTGAGATAATTGGAATTGAGTTATTGGTTGACTATCAGACATAAGTAGAAGGTTATTGACTAAATAATAGGTGTTATAGTGAATTATCTATAAAAAAAACTTACCAATAGGGGATTTTCATTGTTCTAAGGTATGATCCTGAGTTTCTGTGAACTTACTGATTGGAAAATACCCCATCCAGAACAACTTCTTTTTCTACATCGGTAATATGATTTGGAATTAATTACTCTATGCATTGTATATTCCAAATCATTAAAACATAGAATATCATGTCCTCTTTTGGATTTTTTATTAGTAATTTTGTTTTCTAAAATTACATTACTAAATTGATTATATCTAGATTGTTAATTTTGAATTATTTTGGGATTAATTCTTTTCTCAAGAAGAATTTTGATGTTGTTTGATACCGTTTTAATTTCCATTACAATATTATAAATAAAAATATTTTTAAACTATTACTTTTCCCGCACTTTAATGAACCAATCACAGAATTGGACGAAACTTTACGATGAAGTGTCTATACGATCATAGGCACGGAAATCATCTTTTTCGCGTAATTTTCGGATTTAATTTTTGATAATATTAGGACACATCCTAAATGGAAATGGAAAAAGCTTATAATCTTATAAAACAAAATACTTTATATAGAAAAACACCAATGATAAATGTAGAAAATATATTAAATTTGCCTAAGTTCGTAAACCTTAATATGAAGCTTGAAAATATGCAACATACAGGTACAATAATATTTACCTGAATTTCATTATTTTTAAAGGTTCTTTTAAGATAAGAGGAGTGATAAATCAAATTGCACATGTAGATAAAAATGCCATTTTAAATAGATCAATTGTAGCTACATCTGGTGGAAACTATGGAAAGGCGTTAGCAACAATTTCAAAACAGCTCCAATTACAATGCTTAATAGTGATGCCAAACCATGCTCCCAAATACCGGGTCGAAACAATAAAAGTTAAACTATAAGCTCATTAAAATAATTCTTGATTTCAGAAATTAGGAGGAAATGTTGAATTAGTTGAGAATAATATGCTACAAAAAACAGCTGATTATCATGTACAAAAAGATAATATGATGTTTCTACATCCCTATGATGATTATAATTTAATTGCTGGTCATGCAAGGTTCACAAAATTTAGTAAAATTATTATTTAATTTTATAATACTTATACTATTATTAATATTGTATTATTTTTAAAAAAAATCTAGTTGTGGGTATGAAATATTGGAACAATGTCATAATGTAGATATTATTATTGTGTGCTGTGGAGGAGGAGGGCTCTTAGCTGGCATATCATCTTCAGTAAAGCCTTGTTTACCAAATTGTAAAATATATGGGGTTGAGCCTTATGGAGGTAATAATTCTTATATGTAAAAATATTTAAATTTGTTTTATATTTTACATAATCATAAGCTTCAAAAATGTTTCAGAGTTTTAGGATGCAAACTCCAGTGACATTAGAGAATGTTGATACTATAGCAACTGGTTTAGCCCCACCATATGCGGGTATTAAAGTTATAAATATATTTTTTTAATATCTTATTTGAAATTTGCTTAAATTAATTTAAATTTGACAAATCCAAAATTGGCCAAATATTTTTTGGGATTTTACAATTTATATTTAGGATACATATTTATTTAGACATTAAATAAGAATATACACTTATTCAATAATTGAGGTGCTAGAATAACAAATGCATTTACCCCCTCCTATTTGAGCAAAAGAGACAAATTTGTTAAAAGCTTAATAATCTTTTATCGTCTACCCCCCAAAATAAATTCTGTGGCCTCCCTGTATCCTTATTTGATTTTTTATATACTATGTAGTATTATAGTAGATATGGGTTATTTTTACATTGAAATGGAGTGCTAATATTGCTGATAAACATGAATTTTTTTTAAAATAACAACTAACGTTTTTATTTTGGAAGTTTTGGAAGTGTTTTTGATAAATTTGCTTTAATATGATGATTTTGCTTATCTTTTCTCTAGTGATAATTTTAAAATATAATAAAATGATATAGTTTAGTCTATTCTAGTTTTCTAAATAGTTTAATTCATGGACTTTTATTAATTCCTTCAGTATTTCATAGGCTTATTCAAAAATAAATATATTGTAGAATTTACTATTCACATCGTGTGAATAACAAAATCTACTATTAATATTTGATTTGAATAATTCGAATAATTGAAATGAATTATCTTAATAAAATAAATCATACTCAAATATATTGACAATTTTTTTTATTGCAAATTTGATTTAAAACAGAAAAAATTATCATAATATTCTGATAAAAAATATATTATCAATAATCTGATGATAAAAAATATGTAACCAACTTATAAACAAAATTAAAATATATATTATTACTTATAATTCTAAGCCAATTTTTAAGCCAAAGAGTTTTTCTTATATTTTCTTCCTTATAGTGCGCACAAATTGAGTGTTGCAACCAGTGTTGTTAAATGCTACTTTTAAAAGTAGAGTGCTATCGCTACCGCTATCTTTTTCAAAAACTTTATTTCCACAAATAAAATATTGGTATAAAAACATGACTATAATTTGTTACATATATATATAATTTATTTATTATTATTGCCCTTTAATAATAACATTTCGGTACTGCCATCCCCAGTCTAGAGCAACAATCAGAAAGTATAAGCTTTGCCATACTAAATAATTGTTCAGCACCAGCGCAACACAGTATTAAATTTAATAAACACACTTTTTATATGAAAAAAATTATCAAAAATGAGTATTTTTAGATTTAAAAAAGCTTCAATATTATTATTATTATTATTTATTTCAAAAAAATCGTCTATGGAAGGCTGCGGTTTTGATCTTGCTATAGTATTATTTTTTAACGTTACCAGCAGCCTATCAAGTTGCCCTTTAGATTCAGTTTTAGATTTTTTGGAACAATTCAATGTGTGGTCACTCCTAAATAAGTTCTAAAAATACGAATATCATATTATAAATCAGAAAATAAACATTTTTACCTTCTATTGTGCATACAGCAATCTGATATTGTAAAGATGTAGGAGACATCTCATAGATTTAATATTAAAGATTCTTTCTTTCTATAAAGCTATCAAAAATCTTGCCATCAATGTCTGCCGCATAATTGGTACGTGGAGAAAAAGTGTTTATCATCTTTATAAAAGAACCTGGTTGAATAGTATCTATTATAAAGTTCATTATGACTTTGTCAGCCAATTTTTGAGATACACCTGGAGTTGATGAATCCAAATTGCTTAATTATGTTTGAATTAAATTTGATTTGGAAGTGGATGTATCTCCTTCCATTACCCCAAAACTTTTGAGATATTTTTTAATCTCTTTATAATTTGAGGTGTGAACAGTCTAAAATTATAACAGTAATACTTAGAATAAAAAATATGTAAGAGATAGTACATAAAAATGATTGAAATAACTATTTTAAAATATTTTAAATAATTTAGATAAAATTGAATATATAATAAAAATGATTGGTCTTTGATTTAAATTTATTTTAAAAATTAAGGATTAGCCTACACATTCACATTAAATTTGTTTAATATATTAGCTTTAAATGTTTTTTCAAATTAAAGCTGCATTTATGATTTGAGGATAAAATTTTGCGACACATGTTGCATCGAAACCGATATCCAATAGTAATTTTTTCTTCAAGATTAAATTATTTTTTGAATTTTGGGAAAGGATAATCTATATTTTTCTTTTTAATAACTAGATTTATAATGCTAACTAGATTTATAATATATATTTTTAAATATAAATTTCAAAATTAAATTAAATATATGGATTATCATTTTTAGATTTAATAAAAAATATATTTTAATAATTTTTAGATGTATTTATTATGTAAAATTGAAAGTAGTAGTGAGCTACTGCTATCGCTATTTTCTAAAAAAGTAGCTCACTAAAACTAACGCTACTGAAAAAAGTAGCCCAGCACGCTATTTTTAACAACACTGGTTGCAACGCTCTGTTTTAAAAACTAATAATGCATTTTAGATGGTATTGTGAAAATTGGATTTTTTTAGGCAGAGGCTGCGGTAAATAGAAAATTATATTTTAGGCAGCATGCCCCAATTTAAAGGTAAATAAGAAAATTATAGGCTAGGTGCCTCCATATGGGCTTAATAGAAAATTTAAGCTGCTTGCCCCCAAATGGGGGTAAATAAGTTAATAATAGGCTAGGTGCCCCTATTTATGGGTAAATAAAGAAAATTATAGGCTAGGTGCCCCCAAATAGCTTTTTTTGTAGATTCAAACATTGTTTTTTAAAAATTAACCTTTTTTTGTAAATTCTAACATTGTTTTTTAAATCTAACCTTGTTTTTTGTACAAATCTGTTTTTGTAAATTCTAACATTGTTTTATTAAAACCAACCTTGTTTTTTTTTGTAATCAAACCTGTTTTTTGTAAATTCTAACATTGTTTTTTTAAAAACTAACTCTGTTTTTTGTAAATTCTAATATTGTTTTTTAAAACTAACTTTTTTTTTATAAATTCTAACATTGTTTTATTAAAACCAACCATTTTTTGTAATCAAACATGTTTTTTATAATTTCTAACATTGTTTTTTAAAAATTAACTCTGTTTCTTTTATATTCTAACATGGTTTTTTTAAAACTATGTCTTAAATCTAATAAAATATATTGTGACAAACATGAATAAGCTTTATTAATATATATATTTTATAAATATAAGTAAAAGATATAATTTATATAATCATTACATTAAAGATAATTTACACAAAATGGTTTTTGAAATATTTTGGAAATGGAAATTGCTGTTTTTCAATTTTTTGATAATCTTGATAAAATTTTAACTGCTTTTTATATATTTGAAAGATTTGAATAGGCCATGGGTTTATTTTCTGGTAAAAAAAAATATTCTCTTTGGATTCTTAAAAAATTCTATTTGCTAAATTAAACTAAGATTATAAAAAATAGTGCACACAAATTGAGCGTTTGCGTTTGCAGTACATTTTTTAACGTAGTGCATCTGTGTTTAAATTGAAAGCAGTATGTTTTTTCTTTGTTTAAAATTGAATCGTGATTATATTTTTATTAAAATATGGATATATTAAGTTTACAAGATAAGCAAATTATTGCTTTATATTTAATTAATAAAAAACCAAAATCTATTAAGACGAGAAGGAAGACTTCTAAAATATTCATGAAGAGATTTATTCTCGGAATATATTACACTAAAACAAAATCTAACTCCATCGCAATTTTTTAATTATACTAGGATGAGGAGAACAACTTTCTCTTATATTCTGAAGCTCATCCATGACGATATAAATCCTAAGGTGACGAACTTCAACAAGCAGATTAATGCAAAGATCGACTATTTCTCACCTTAAGGTAAAATATGATAATTTAACATAAAATTATTTATATAAAAGGTATCTTATAACTGAAGTTTCCTTCTCACAGTTTGCATTTAGTGCAAGGATATCCTATTCACAGATATCACAAGCTTGGCTGTAAGACCTATATCTGTTATGAGCGACAGCAATGCATCATCTAATGAAGCAAGAAATATCAGAAATTTATTCAAAGATTTTTTAAATTCATAAATTATTTTATTATATTATATTTTTTTTTTTTATTTTTATTGTTTTATTTATTTATTTCACATAACACCTAATTAAAAATATTATAATTTATAAATTATAATTATATAATTAAAAATAAAATTCTATAATTGAGTCCCCAAAAAGGAACCATAATTGTGTCTAAAAATTTCTATTTGAATTTTTTGTCGAATAAAAAGGAATTCTCTTGGTTCATTTGTGAAAAGTCGTATTTTATTAGCAAGATTTTTTAAAAACAAAAATGTTGAAGGCAAAAAATGCCCGTTAGTAGAAGTCACAACTGGAGTGAATAAAAAGTTTTTAAAATTTTTGTATTTGTTTATCTTTTTAATTTCAGCCTGTGTTATTAAATTGAAATTTATGTTTGAAGGGAATGATGAAACACACGTGTAGTCCCATATGAGTGATTTGCCGAGGGCCCAAGGTATGGTTGTCATACCATCAGGTCTTAAACCATCTACTTGAGATAAATTTGATGGTTAGCGGCTCATACATTAAGAATTTACTTAGAAAACCCACCACCTGATTCTGTAATATGTAAACTAGATTTTAAAAATGCCTTCAATAGCCTACATCGTACCTCATTTTTAAAATTCTTCTATGAAACATTTCCCTGTTATTCTAAATTTATTGAATCCTCATATGGTTTTCAGACGCCTTTGACATATGGATCTTATCAGATTTTATCCCAAGAGGGCATCCAACAAGGGGATCCATTAGGACCTCTTCTTTTTTGTTTTGGAATCCATCATCTCATCTACCAAATTAAACAAAATTTTAACCTAGATCTTAATCTATGGTATTTAGACGATGAGACCATATGTGGCCCTTCAGCTAATGTACTAAGCGCCTTAAAACACCTGGAAATCAATTCCCAAGCTATCGGCCTGGTACTCA